CAGTGTGGGGGACTGCACACCATGGGGGTGGCATAGGGATGGGGAACCACAGCCAAGTTGGTAGTACAGGGGACACTGCTGCAGTGAGCGGGGTGGGCAGGGGCCAGCACATATCATGAGGGATCTGGTCCTGCCACTAATGCTGTCCAAGGACTGCTAGCGGCAGACTTGCCAGGCACTGAGATGAGCTGTGCCACGGGGCGGTGAGCAGTGTGAGGTGTGCAGGACTGACCTTGAGCCACAGGTCCGGAGCCCAGGGTGGCTCTGGGACCCTGCCCGTGAAGAGGCAGCAAGGGGCCAGAACCCTCATGATACACCCAGTGGGTGGGCAGCGGAGCCTCAGTGCTCCCATATGTGTGCCCACAAGAGGTATAGCACCACCCCCGTCCCCAATTTTCTGTCTAGCTCACCTCAGACCCCACCCTGGGAAGAGGCTGGCACCGCCCCTGGGAGAGAGAAACCCCCTCACGTCGATGTGATGTATTAATTTAGATGGAATATAGGGGCCAAAGGTGTTAACATGATCCAGTCACTGTCCAATATTAAACAGTGTTAAACAAAGTTTGCGGTTTCATATCCAGAGACCTCAGCCTGCTTAGCCCCAGGGCAAGTGCACCATTAACCATCCTTTTAACCTTTTATTAAAGATTCAGAAAAGAAGGAAAAACAGTTAAAGCCTTTGCAATGTTACAGTATTAAGTCAGGCTTTTATTGTAATAGCATTCCCTTTCCTATCAGCTGGAGAGAGGTTTTATAAGGAAAACACCCTTTGTTTGACAGTTGCTTAGATGGAATTAAAGATGTGGCAAAGAGAAGTTAGTTGAGATGGCCTGGAGATGTGTCATTGTTGTTAAAGTCCGATCCCGTTTCCTAGAAGACAAAATAACACAAACACAAAAAGGGGAGAGAAAAAAACAACAAATAGAAAATGCAGCTTCTGTCTCTGGTGCTGACTCTCACTTGCAACCTCACTGCTGGAGAAACACTGGCCCAGCACATGGTCTCATCAGCCACTTGAAGATGTGCAGAACTCATAACAGCATCAGCCCATTTAGGGCATTGCTTTTAGCTGCTTCTTTCAGGTCACGGGCTTACAGCAGTGCTATGACATATACAGTCCTGACCAGTTAAGCCAGACTCTCATTCGACAGAAGGAAAAAGGAGAGAGATGGGAAAGAAAATTAATAAAGTGAGGAGGGGAAAGGACATACTGCAGAGAGGGGAGACAAAGTCTCACATTCCAGATGGTATTTGGGATTCAGCCAGAGCTGGTAGAGGTGGCAATATTATCTGGCCTTTCTGGTCGAGACACTTCTCGAGAGCAGGATGATGAAGGACTGGGGTCAGAGAAGATGGTGGGGGGTGGCAGCCATGATAATAAAACTCACTGCAGTGGCTGTTTCCCAAAAGTCTTTTCTTTCTAAAAATTCCTAAAGGAAGTGTTTGGTGGAACAGTCCATCCTGTGGTTATTTTGTCCACCAACAGGCCTCACTTCCAACACACCAATTTTGGTCCTTTGATTTCTAGTCCTCTACTCCTCTTGTTTATCAGGCGCGATCTTAATACAGTCCTGGAATGGTGTCTGTAGGACTTTTTGTTTGAACTAATTCCGTCCTTCTGTCTCACGTTTGCACCTTTTCCATCAACTGGGGGGAGGTATAGTTCAGTGGCTTGAACACTAGCCTGCTAAACCCAGCGTTGTAAATTCAGTCCTAGAGGGGGCCATTTAAGGATCTAGGGCAAATATCTGTCTGTGGATTGGTCCTGCTTTGGGGCTGGACTAGATGACTTCCTAAGGTCCCTTCAAACCCTGATATTCTATGAACTTCTACTGTTATTGGGACAGTTTAGGAACTTGTATCCACTTTTTACAGCTGAGCTCAAAATTAAGGAAAATTTGTAGGCCCAATTATTAGAGCAAACCTCACCTGCCATCCCCCTCTATGAAAAACACGTACTCTCAGTCACCCCAGGCCCCATACCCTTGGTATGAGACACGCCCTCCCAGAGACCTCCCTCCCATCCCTTTCTAAGAGACACCCCCACCCAGAGACCGCCATCTCCCACAGACCCACCCCAACACACAGATGTCCATCTCACAGACACCTCATCCCACCAACAGAGAAGTCTCTCCCACTGGAGAAAAACTCCAAACCATGGAGACATTTCAACCCACAGGGACACTTGCCTCACAGACACCCATCCCATGGACAACCTGACCTATAGAGACATCCTATCTACTGGAGACACCCCTACTACCAGAGATGCACAGAGAATCCTGCTTCATGGACACCCCAACTCACTGATACCCAGACTCCCAGAAACCCCTCCATCCCGCTGCAACCCTGATCAACAAAGACATCCCACCTCCTGGAGACTCCCCAACTGAGACCCTGATCCATAGATATAGCTGCCTCTCAGACACCCGCCTCATAGACCCAGACCTTCAGAGACATCCCACCTCCTGGAGATACCCCGACTCACAGACCCTCCCATCTCACAGAGACACCCCATCACATAGAAACCCTGACTCCTGGAAGTGCCCTATCCCACAACCCCCAGAGACCTCAGCTCACAGAAACACCCTGATCCCCAGAGAATCAGCCTTATAGAGATACCCTCACCCACCAAGACACCCCAACCCCAGAAACACCCTACCTCACAGAGACCCCCTGGCCCAGACAGATCTTGCCTCACAGAGATGTCCCAATTCACAGCAATCCCCACTCTAGAATGATACTTTGATCTACTGAGAGTCTGAGACCCGTCGTCCCAGGCCTTCTGGGCTACACTACATCAGTTGATCATGCTCAGTTACATTTGTTCCTCTACAGCTGATGGAAATGCACCTGGCAGCTACACACCCCAGTGTTTCATTTGGTTCTCCATGGTGCTGACATCCCAGACAGACTGGTTGTTTGGGGCCCAAGAAGGACCGAGTCTCATTCCAGCCTCACTCATTTGTATACCAAAGTGGTTGGAGCTGCCTGAAAAAATGGAGAGAACTGGGCTGTCAACAATGGGGCTTCAGGAGCAGAGCTACCAGCTCTCTCCATCTCCTCTCTGCACATTGCCCATGTTTCCCACAGTATCCATGTGGGAAATGCCCCAGCCTTCCCTAATCATAGAATCATAGAATATCAGGGTTGGAAGGGACCTCAGGAGGTCATCTAGTCCAACCTCCTGCTCAAAGCAGGACCAATTCCCAACTAAATCATCCCAGCCAGGGCTTTGTCAAGCCTGACCTTAAAAACCTCTAAGGAAGGAGATTCCACCACCTCCCTAGGTAACCCATTCCAGTGCTTCACCACCCTCCTAGTGAAAAAGTTTTTCCTAATATCCAACCTAAACCTCCCCCACTGCAACTTGAGACCATGCTATTGCTTTGCACATTTTCAACTGGTTCTCAACCAAGACGAGCCACCAATCATTAGCCAGCACCAATTAGTGTAGTATGGAAAGACAGGGACACCTGTGCAAGCCAGGGGTGTTTCCAGGGCTAAAAAAGGGGGGGGGGAGGATGATGAAAGATGGTTCCACTGGCCTCCCTTAGCGCTATGGGACAACCACTTCTCCCACATTAACTACTCCACTGGAGCTGTATTTACACAGCAGCACCCCCTTTTTACAAAGAACTAGCTCCTCAACAAAGGATCCTGATTAGGAAAGTTGCTATGGACCCTGTCTCCAGAGATCCTGTCACTGATACAGGCTGCCCCAACGTGACACCCTCTCACCAATACACCACTGATAAAACCTGACCCACAAGGAGTATCCTCACCAATACCAGTGCTGATCTAGCCTGCCCCACACAGACCCCTCCTCACCAATACACCGCTGATACAGCATGCTCCACAGATCCCCTCCTCACCAAAACACCACTGAGCCAGCCTGCTCCACACAGACCCTTCCTCGCCAATACTACATGGCTGATACAGAGACCCTGCCTCACCAATACACTACTGATACAGCCTACCCGACACAAACTGCTCATCATCATCACTACTGATAGAGCCTGCCTCACAGGGACCCCACTTCACCTATACACTCCTGATACAGCCAGCCCAACAGAGACCTCTCCTCACCAAATCACCACTAATACAGCCTGCCCGACACAGACTCCTCCTCATCCAAACAACGCTGAGACGGCCTGCTCCACACAGACCCCTCCTCGTCAATACATTGCTAATACAACCTGCCCCACAGACACCCGCCCTCACCAATACACCGCTAATACAGCCTACCCCACACAGACCTCTCCTCACCAATACTCCACTGATACAGCTTGCTCAGAGACCCCTCCTCACCAATACACCGCTGATACAGCCTGCCCCACATAGACCCCAGCTCCCCACACATCAGTGACAGCCCCAGTGGGGAAATGGGTTTTATCACGTCCTTTCCCCACCATGACTTGAACCATCCTGCCACCCCGGCCTAGCCCGAGCCTGGGGAATGAGCCTGGGGCAGGGACAATCACGCCGCGGTGGCCCGGATCTTGGAGGCGCGGCTGGGTGTGTTCTGGAAGCGGGTGTGGCTTGTTTTGGTTTGGGGCTGGCGGCTGCCGTGTTTTCCCAGCCGCTATACAAAGCGTCGGGAAGACGCAGCCTCCCATGGTCTGTGGGGACGCGGGCTGTGCGTGTGCGCCCGCCGGGGGAGGGCTGGTCCGGCTGCCTCGGAGCAGTCACCGGAGGCAGTGCCGGCAGGTGCCAGTGACCCGCCCGCTCCCAAAGGCTGCATTGCACCGTCCGAGGCCAACGCTGCTGGTTCGGACCCAGGCCCGGCTCCCGGGCCCCCCGCGGCCACTCCAGCCCCCGCCCAGCGAGCAGCAGCAAGCTCCGCGGGGACCGGAGCGTGCGGATCGCACCAAGTCTTCTGCGGGGGGCAGTGCGCGCGGAGGGGGGAGCCGAGCGAGCGTGTTTCAACAGGGCGGAGGGGGGGAAACGTTCGGAAAGATGTTCCCGTCCCCCTACGCTCGCAGCCCTAATGGTCCGTTCCGCGTGCTCTATTTAATCCCCTGCTGCAGCCGCCGCGCTGGCTTCAGTCAATAGCAGAAGCCGTGGTGGTTGCTCGTGGTTTTGGGTGCGGGCGGGCCGGCCGCTCGCTTCCCGCGGGGCTGAGCCTTGGAGGATCCCCGCAGCCCTAGAACAACCATGCTGCCGCCGGCGCTGACCCTGCTGCTGCTCCTCGGCTGCCTGGCGGCGGGCAGCGGGACCCTCTCGCAGGATGGTGAGTGGGGGGCCATGGGTGTCAGCCCGGGCTCCGGGCGGGGGGTCCAGCCGCTCTCCTGTCTGTAAACGCCGTTTCGCGGAGGCCGGTCGCGCCATCCGCGGCCCAGGGAGCGGACCGCGGACAGCGCCGTAACCCGGTCCTCTAGAAGAGGGTCCGGGAGCCGCCGCCGCCGCCTCCTGCCCGGCAGCTGGGGTATCGCGTCTCGCCTGCCCGCACCCTGCGTTGCCTCGGTTCGGCCGGGCTCAGCCTCGGGCCCGCTGGGGCTGGGCCGGGGGCGCCGCGCCCCTAGGGCGCAGCCAGGTGCGGGCGAGGGTTCCCTGTTCTGCGGCGCTCAGCGCGGGGGCTGGGAGCCCGGGCACAGCGGGGAGGGGGTCGCTGGGCGCTGCCTGCCGCTGGCGAGCGGTGCCGCTATGTAGGTCAGCCAGGCTCCCCGGGTGATAGGTACCCCCGCCGCCCTCCTTGGGATCGGTGTCGGGCTCGGCTCCGGAGACCAGTCCTCGTCCTGTAGATTGGCCCGGCTCCCGGCCCAGCTCCCAGACCTGCTCGGTGCTGGCTGCAGTCGCTGTCCCGAAAGGGGCGGGGGAGGTCCTCGGGCTCGGGGACCGGACTGGCCGGGCCATCGTCCCGGGGGAGGGTCCCCCGGGCACAGCCGTGTAGCGGCGGTTCGGTGCATCCAGCCAGCGGCTCTGCAGCCTGCGACGCAGCAGGGCGCAGCTGGGCGCGGTGAGAAAGGGAGGGGCAGGGCCCCTGCCTCGAAGGGATGGAGTTAGCGGAGCTGGCCGTGCGGCTCTGGGCTGAGGAGCAGGAGGGGCCACCCCGGGTGTTCCCCCGAGCCCTTCCAACGGGGTCCTCCAGCCTGGGGCAGCTGGTATCAAGGTCACCCCCTCCCCAGGCTGTCCCTTTGCCACCTTTTCAGCAAACAGGTATGGGTGGCTCCACACCTCCTCATCCCTGGAATTTTCCAGAGAGGCTGGCACCCCTGCCCCTCCTGCCGCGAGGATCGGGAGTCTTCCCATGATGTGTCTCTCCATGGCTCCCACTGGGTGACTATGCTGGGGGAGGGGGGTTAGGGTGCAGCATAGGGAGCCAGGGCCTCAGTCACTGCACCCCAGATTGGCCGTGTCACCATCTCAGCAGGCTTGTGTTCTTGCAGCTAAGGGTAGCCAAGTGCCAAAGGTGACCGCAGTCCTGCCAGGGCTGTGGCATGCTGCATTTCGAGGCAGGGCTTCAGTGCTAGAGTTGAGGCTGAGATTGGCTTTTAGTTCCAGTAGCAATTTGGAGAGATTTATTTAACATTTTCAGGCTTGCTGCCTGTCTTCCCATCTCTGCCTGTTTACCTTCCTAGCCAGCTTTCCATTTGTATCTCTGTTAGTCCATCTGCCTCTCCCATTAAGCTAGGACATACAGTGCTGCAATTAGCTGGGTTTAAAGTGCTTGGAAGATAGCAGAAGGCTGCAGCAGGGTTTGAAGAAGACAGACCAATTCCACCAGTTCCTCCCGGAGAAACCTGTTCATATTTGTATGTCTTATTGTTCACGTATCTTTCAAATCCCCCTGGCACTCTGTATACAGATTGTTTATTACGCAGAAAGCATGGAGCGGCTCTGTAGCCCCATAACCCTTGAGACAAAGGGTGTTTACCCATTATGTATAACAACAATAGGCAGAGCGATGCATGCCAAAACAACCTTTAATGAAGTACCACAAAGCAAACATAATTTTGATAAGGATTTGTAAAGGTAATACATTGCTTTTCGTAACTGTATTGCTGCAAAATGAAATGCTGGCTGAACCTCAATAGCCAGGCTTGGGGCTTGTGGCCTGAAATGACCATGAGATCACTGATGTCATGTCAATGACACCCTCTCTTTATATTTGTCTTTAAAGTATTATATACGCACATATGTGGTGCTGTACACGTACTGAGACTCATCAGAAGCAGGAAATAATTCAGAGGTGGGCGGTGAGGGACCAGCAGTGCTAAGACAAGGGTTTCGCAGATTTCAAAACCAGAAAGGACTCTTATTATCTACTCTAACCTCCTACTTAACAGAGGCTGGAGATTTCTCCCAGTAATTCCTGCATCTATCCCAGCAACTTGTGGTGGAATTAGAGCATAAGGTGAATTAGAGGTGTGAAGTAGAAGAGCGTTGTGTGTACTCACATGCTAATGAGAGGACCATTCATCCATTTCCTCCTTCCCCTTCCCCCCCCCCTGCATCTAGAAATGCCATGTTCAGTGCAGGCAGGATTCTCAGACTATCTCTGCAACTGTGGCCATGTATTTCACCAGTTAGGTCTTGAATGAGCTCTTCCTCAGTGTGCATTGCAGGTGCTAATGATGGAGGGGTGCTGGACTGCTCTCCTTACACTTCCTCATTGCCTGATTTCGTGGTGCAGGAAGTAAAACTGAAAATGCTTACTGGGGTAAAATAGCCTGGAACCAAAGGCTGGATGAAGTATTGCAGCATGTGGGAAGGATGAGAAACTGGAACCAGGAAACATCCTGGTTAGGGCATGAACTGGAGGTGCTTGGATCCCAAAGTAGGAGCAGCTCTCCTGTTGAGCTACGGGAGAAGCTCTGCTAGCCCTTCACAGCAGGAGAGTTTCTATCCTCTTCCCCTCCCCACACTAGAGGAGAAGACTGTTACTGGAAGCAGGGTGTCATGTGATCACACCCATTCAAAAGCTCCAGAGACAGGCACTCTCCATGCATTCTAGGTGGTGGTGGTCTTGGTGATTATGATATAAGGAAAAGTTATTTACTTGTTCCCATAATATAAGAACTAGGGGCCACCAAATGCTTTAAAACAAATAAAAGGAAATTCTTCTTCACACAGCGCACAGTCAACCTGTGGAACTCCTTGCCTGAGGAGGTTGTGAAGGCTAGGACTATAATAGGGGTTAAAAGAGAACTAGATAAATTCATGGAGGTTGTCAGTTAATGGTTATTAGCCAGGGTGGGTAAGGAATGGTGTCCCTAGCCTCTGTTTGTCAGAGGGTGAAGATGGATGGCAGGAGAGAGATCACTTGATCATTGCTTGTTAGATTCACTCCCTCTGGGGCACCTGGCATTGCCCACTGTCAGACAGCAGGATACTGGGCTGGATGGACCCTTGGTCTGACCCAGTATAGCCGTTCTTATGTTCTTATGAGCATGGGGCTGTCATGCCTTCGGCGTCATGAAGTCCCAAAGAGGAGCCACCTGGGTATGGCTGGCACCATGTCATTCTTGATTGTTTGTTAAAAAGGCCATGCTAAATGCCACTGAGATCACTGTGATCATCTAGTCTGACCTCCTATATAGCAAAGGCCATAGAACATCCCCAAAATAATTCCTCGAGCAGGTCTTTACCAAGGGCTGAGTTTTTCGTTTTGTTTTTAAAGTGTCCCAATGGCTAATAACCCTCAGTGTTTTAAGCCTGATTGTGTTCAGTGAATTGACTGGGTGTCCGTGTGCATGGACACATTTTTGACTGAATCCCAAGTGCTCATAAAAATGCACGTGGTATCGGTTGAGAGTGGTGGGTTGAAGTTCTCTGTGTAGCCCCCAGGCAGAGTACAGCATGGAAAATGACATGGCAAGCTTCCCTCAGGAAGAACGGTAAGAAGTGTCAGTGTTTCCTTTGTTCTCTGGCCCTTTGCTGAGATCAGCAAGGGTGATGCTGGCTGAAAAACATAAAACCAAAAAAATCTGTGAGCACCAACCTGGAGCACTGTTTACTCCCACTATGAATTCAGAAAAGCATTGGCTAAGAAATACTGCCCCTGCAGGAAGACATTCTGTAGTGTCATGCTGTTCACCAGTCAATGATATGGGCTCAGGAAAATGTCCTTCGCCATTGATTGTCCTAAAACCCCCCTCCCATGCACCCCTCAACCTCTGAATGTGTCCCTGGCACAGCTCTCTCACCAGTAGGGCCCTTCTGGCAGTGTTACTGAGGAATGTGGTACCCCCTCAGAGGGGAGAGGTAAGGTGCTGCAAGTATAAAATTCCCCACCTGTCTCCTCCCCTTGGGAATTAGCTACATTGTATCCCACAGCTCCTTGACCATTGTAATGAGACAGGAGGTGGGGTTCCACAAAGGGTTCTGTTGCCCAGGGAGCAGAACTGTTAGACTCTGGGAAAAGTCTTGGTACTTCACCATAGTAGCTTTGTCTGTGTGCCCTTGGACAGCTGATGTGCTGTGCAGATTTTGGTGTCTTTGGGCTGGGAGTGTGTGAGGTTGGGGAGAGGATGATTTTGTGCCTACAAGAACCCCACCAGTAAGAGAGAGAGAGAGGATTAGTTCAGGAGCAAAACCTTCTTATTTATTTGAAAATCGTGTACACTAGCTACATGAGGAAACCCACTGAACACTAAAGCTCCAGGCCCTGGTCTGCTGCGGACCTCATCTACTGAAGGTACTTGTATATCACCTATTACTGTAGCACCTCACAATCTTTAGTAGCTCTAAGTGCTGTTATCCCCATTGTACAGATGGGGGACTGATGGTCAAAGAGGCTAAGTGACTGGCCCAAGGGGTGTCAGGCAGTCTGTGGCAGAGCAGGGACTTGAAATGAGATCTCCCAAGTCCTAGGCTAGTTCCCCAGCCACTGGGCCATCATTCCTTTCTCAGCACAGTAGAAAATGTTCTCCCCCATGCACTTCCTCCTACCCTCTCTTAGTTGTGTGCCCTAAGGTCTGTTGATCTAGAGATGGGTGGATTCACCAAGTATCTGACCCTCATGTGAATTCCCAGGCTTCCCCTAGGAGCACTTCATGCTGAGCAGAAGCACTGTGATGGGAGGAGATTTCCCTGTCTTTGGTGAGTGCCATGTGTTTCCAGCTAACACCCAGTGAATGAGACCATCCCCTCACAGGATACCCAAATGGGTATTAGTGCTTCTGGGAGGGAGTAGTGGTTAGAGCGCAGCCCTGGGAGTCAGGAGATATGGGCTCCATTGGCTGTGCCAGAGGTGTATTGAGTGACCTTGGTCTAGTCAGCAGCCTCTCT